CCTATACACATATTTATTATCTAATCAATTTAAGGGTAAGTAACGTTACACACAGTGCAAAACTTTAATAAAAATAGAAAGGTAAATTGAATGCAACTACCTGCTCCAATATTTAACTATTTATGAGTTTCTTACAAATATAAATAATAGAAAAAATGTAGCTAAAACTCATTTAAGCCAACAACATTAGAAAGTATACATTTCCATATGCTTTTATTTTTGCAATTCATCCTTATGCTCATCACAATGTTACACTGCTTCCTATATTACCCTCTTTGTTCTTTAAACCCCAGATATTGTATTTCTTTTTGAGTATTCCATTTACACTATCCAAATGGGATTTTCTTGGCGTTTCCTCTCAACCAATTGGTCTTTCTTCATACATTTATTTTGCAATCTAATCATTCATTTTTTTCTGTGTGCCAAAACCACATTCAAAATATGTCTTCCTTAATGGTGACTTGATTTCTGCCCCAATTTATTCTTGACCCAGTTTCCTCTTACTTACCAAACACATTTCTTAAGTGTATTAATCCCACCGCATCGTATATTAGGTTTCTCCTGCCATACCCAAATCTCACTTTGAAACAAGAAAGTGGACAGAACCACATTATTATAAGCAATCATGTTTCCTTTGTTCAGACGACCTTCATTCCTTGCAACAGCTCACCCTTTCTACCATTATTTTTACATCTTAAAGTTTCTCCATTTACTTTCTTATAAATATTCTGCTAAGCTATTAAAATTATCTACCTGTTTAGTATTTCGCCATTTATGTATTATTTGTGGTTTGTCCTATGTTACCTGTCAAATATAAGCATCTTGGTCTTTGATACATTTTTTTTTCCAGAGCCATGATTTCCACCAAATAATCCAATATAACATTTGTTGCAAATAATTTGGGTTCTTCACAAAAAGCACAACACCATAAACGTACAAAAGTTCACATAACATGATCCCAACATATAATATGTATAATGTGACTGCAAGCATTTCTATATTTTCATAAGTACATTAAAGAACAAAGCGGATGTCACATTTTTCACTCCCTAACTGTTGAACTGTTTGCAAAATTTTCCATTCCATTCCCATGCATTCATTACTTTAATAATTTACCATACTCTTGTCAAATTTAGCAATTAACTTTCAACTGCATATTCTATGGAGTCAACTTCATGCAAAGTATTCTATTATTCAGTCCTATTTGTGTGTGTGTGCTTGTGTACTTGTGCATGCACTTTCATGTCAGTCTCGACTCCTGGTGATTTCCTTGACAAGTTCCTGCAGTTTTCCTGGTAAGATTTGCAGACGTGTTTTGTCGCTGCCCTTTCCTAGAGAGAGAGAATGACTGGCTCAAAGTCCCTCAGCTGGCTTTGTGCCTAAGGCAGAACTAAAACTCCGTGTCTCCTGGTGCCTTAAGGCACTCAGTGTCGCCTGGTGCCTTAATCCATTATAGGCAAACCTATGGCACATGTTCCACAGGTAGCATGTGGAGCCCTCTCTGCAGGCATGCGAGCCATTGCCCCAGCTNAAGGATAGCATAAACCCAACATTTGTCATGGTTTAGTCCCACCACACACATAGGAATGCACAGCACACCCCCAAACCAGTATTTCTCAACCTTGGAAAACTTCAAGATGGGTGGACTTCAACTCCCAGAATTCCCCAGCTGCCTGGGGAATTCTGGGAGTTGAAGTCCACCCAACTTGAAGTTGCCAAGGTTGAGAAACACTGCCCCGAACCCTACCATCTTCTTAAAATAATGCTTTCTTTATTTAACAATTAATGTAAATCAGCATTTCTCAATCTCAACAACTTTCAAATGTGTGGACTCCAACTCCTAGAATTTCCTAGCATGCTAGCTGGGGAATTCTGGGAGTTGAAGTCCACACAACTTACAAGTCTCTGAGAAACAATGCTGGGGATCATCAAAAATCCTTTGCTGAGATTTGAAGTCGAGGAATTCGACAAAAACCCACAACTCTGCAGTAAACTTAAAAAGACCAAAGAGAAGAATTGGGGTGAATGAAAAAAACCAGACTGACATTTTAGAAGATTTTGAGCAAACGATTCTGGAGATGGCTTTTGCAAAATGGCTCTCTCTTGAATACAAGACACGGATACTACAAGGTTGAATGCAGATCACGGCAAGCAAATACAAGTGAAAAAGGCTTCCTAATTTTACAAGGAACTTCGGTCCTGTGCTCGACTTTCATGGATGGTGGCGCACGAGGACACCTGAAGGAATATTCTTGAGACTAGGCCAGATTGTTTGATGACCACAATAATAATTTATTAAATTTACAGGCTGCCCAACTCTGAGCGACTTCGGGCGGTTTACAAATTGTTACAAAAACACTTTGAAAGTTTGAAAACAAGAAACAATACAAAAGGAAAAAGATGGTGAAGGAATAAACCCAGATCGAACGAGGGAGGAGGAAGAGGACGACGACTGTCCTAGGTGATCTCTAACCTTGGTGGTTTTCTTGCAGACATTTCATGACCCAACTAGGTAACAGCATCAATGCTAGATTTATGTTAGAAGGCTCAAACTCAGAGATGATCGAGGACCCCATAGTCGTCAATGCCCTCCTCCTCCTCCCGACGATACCCCTCTTCCTTCAAGCATTGATATTCCCTATGTAGGTCATGAACCGTCTGCAAGAAAACCACCAAGCGAGTGGGACACTCAGAGCTTCCACTGTTTCAGAATTTGATTCAGAGACCAACATTGAAGGAGGACACCAGAGAGTTAAAGGAGCATCAATTTTGGTGGAGACGACATGGGCATTTAAAGTCCCGCTTTGGACTTTTGAAAACTATGGATACAAAGATTTTAGAGCAAATAAAAAGGTTCATTCAAAACTGACATACACAGATTTGCAATTATTTCACTGGCTGGAGTCATTCTGCAAATCACACGTGGCTCGGCTTGCTAGTTTGGGTTTAAGCAGATCCTGGAAATTCGGGGACCTGAAGAAAGAATGTATGGCTTGTTTAGCCAGTGATGCAACCAAGACTTTAGCTCCCTCTAAGAGGAACAAACCAGAATAACTGGTTTGTACAACCCATGATGGCGAACCGATGGCACGTGTACCTGAAGTTGCATGTGGAGACATGTCACCTGGCACGCGCGTCACCCATTCCTCTTCCGGGTTTCTGGCACACATGCGCACGTGCCAATCAGCTGTCTTTTGTGCGTGCAGCAGTGCCCGAAACCGGAAGAGCTGGTCTTCCGTTTTCCGGCACGAGCATGCGTGCTGCCCAGGTGATCAGCGTGTGTGCATATGCAGCAGTAACTGGAAGACTTGCAGAAACAGGAAGTTCATTTTCTGGAGCATGCATGCCCCCTGGGCAGCTCCTCTTCCTGGTTGTGACTCAGACAAGCGTATGTGTGTATGCGTGCAACATGCCCCCTTTTTGGCATGCTCTCCCTTTTTGGCACTTGCCATCACTGCCCTAAACTTTCCAGTCCGAACCATCCCATGTTTGAAAGTCAGTAGGAAAAATCATGTTTGTTTATGGATAAGTCACATTATGTCTTAATTTAAACCACCACCACCCTGACAGTTTTCCTTAAATTATTTCAATTTGTTTTAAATACATCAGTTTTTTTTAAGCATTTAAATAAACCACTTCTTAATGTATTTTGGAAAAGAATTTTGGGGCAGTTATAAGATGCTCCTGTTCGAGTGGTGCGGTGGCCTAGAGGTGGAGGTATGAAGTTTCCAAAAGATGCCCTAATTAATTTACAAGCCTCGAGACAAAGTTCAAAAGAAATCCAGTCATTTATTAGGAGCAACATTTTGGCATGTTCTTGTGTGGAGCCAAAACTGATTTCCGGTTAATGGTGTCTGACCTTTACCCCTGTGTCTCCCCTCCCCTCAGTCTGTGTCATAAATCATAGCCACCGAGGTACTGCAGCAGGCTGTGAACTTTTGCGCCTCACACGCCTGCTGTAGAAATCGGAGATCCAACTCTGGTCGAAGGTATGCATGGAATTCTCCCTCCTTTTTTCATGTCAACTTGATAATAGTCATGGAAATGCTTTACAAATTGACAGGAGGTCTCGCCTCACAATCAGGAGGCTGTGAGTTCGATCCTAGGTAGAGGCAGATATTTCTTTCTCACAATGAGAATATATCAGCTGAACAAAGCTGGACATCCAGCCATTAAGCACTCTGCTAGCTCCATTCAGTTGTCCAGATTCCACCCTGCAAGGGATTATGGGGTTGTTTAATGATGAAGATGACAATAAGATGCTCCTGTTCGTTTAGGCCAGGGGTGTCAAGGCCCTGGGGCTGAATCTGGCCCTCGGGGTGCTTAGATCTGCTCCACAGGGCCTCCCTGGAAATAGCAAAGGACCGGCCCATGGTGCCTCTTCCAGCAAAAACAGAGCTTGGGAGGCCCTCATGAGCTCCATTTTCACTGGTAGAGGTTTGCAGGAGGCAGTTGCAGATCTTGGGAGCCCGTTTTCGCTGGCAGAGCGCTTGGGCGACCACAGGTGCTCCAACACGAGTGACGTCGAGCTGGCCATGCCCCCCCCCCAAGGTCAAACACAACCCTGATGCGGCCCTCAATGAAATTGAGTTTGACACCCCTGGTTTAGGCAGTTTTACAAAATAAAAAAATTAACACACATACTCCCCAATTCTGATCCACAGTTGGGGGAGGGGGGGGGACGGGGACAAGGGCCGTACACAAAGCCATTTCTTCACATCTCTAGTTTATTTCTCAGTTTCCACAGAACAACAAAGAAAAAAGAAATCCAGAAAATATACGTTTAAAAAAAAGTGTCCTGCTCAGACCCATTTGAGTTTGCCCAACAGCGAACCGAGAGGTCGCTTCTGGACAGTCCCCCATCTCCAGGACTTTGACATGGAGACCTTGTGATTAGGAGAACAACACAATACCTACAGTATTTTACATTGCAAAGAAGATCGAAATGACAATCCTGGCTACTACCCCTTTTTGTTAGTTTTCGCCGTTTGGAAGCATTGTTAGAGACCCCGTACAAAAATGTCCTCGCTACGACAGAGCATCATCTCCGGAATCTAAACTCCGGTCTAGAGAGGGGGAGTCCACCCAGAAGTACCAGTTTTTGAGGTGGCATAGCATCCTCGCAGGACCGGACTAAATGAAGATGGCGTCCAGCAGGGCTTCCCGGACAGCNACTAATGAAACAGCATAATGAAATAAGAGTCTGTGTGGCAGGCCAAAGATCCTAAAAGGGACATAACTGCAGGCCTGACAGCCATTCCCGTCCATCCGTGGGAAGAAATTGCTATGGATTTTGTCGTGGAATTACCCAGTAGCAACGGACATAGGGTGATATGGACAGTGATAGACTTGTTTTCAAAACAGGCTCATTTCATCCCGTGCAAAAATATACCATCAGCACGGGGACTGGCAAAAATGTTTCTCCAACACATTTATCGATTGCATGGAGTGCTCCGTCATATCGATTCGGACAGGGGGGTGCAGTTTACTGCCTGGTTTTGGAGGGACTTTGTATGATTGATTGGTTCCTCACAGGGGTTAAGCTCAGCATTTCACCCTAGTACCAACGGTGCAGCTGAAAGAGCCAATGCTATGGTGGAACATTACCTATGATGTTACGTCTCGTACCAGCAGTCGGATTGGTCAAATCTTCTACCATTCGTGGAAGCTGCTTATAATAATGTGGTCCACCCTAGCACTTGCTTGACACCATTCCAAGTGGTATATGGTGTAGAGTTCCCCGCCATCCCTGAACTAGAACTGAACCCCCAATGGCCAGGGACCCCAAGGGAGTGGGCTGACATAACAAGGGCTGTGTTCTAAGGTGGAGGAAAAAAGGAGATAGAAAAGGGACTAAATGAAGAACAAGAAGATACTACAGAACAAAGAGATTGAAAAAGAAAAATATGCAGATTATTGTATTGGGATTTACAGTGACACACTAAAAGGAGACAAGGGGGAAGTAGCCCACAAAAAGGGAAAATTAAACAGTAAAGGTGGGAATAATTGGGAAAGACTGGGAAAAAACCTGGGGAAAGTTACCAAAACAATAGAATCAAAAGGGAGAAAAAAGATTGGGAAGAAAAAAAAATAGAAACTACAAAAACAAGAAAAAGAACAAACTAGGCAAATGGGTGGAAAGAAGAGAATATAAGAGAGGTGAAGTTTCTGAGAGACTAAGAGAAAATAGTTAGGAAAGGAGGAATACTCTAGATAGGGGGCCTGGTTCACTAGGACAATGAAGTTCACACTGATAGTGGTGATTGCCTTGTTGGATGTCTTGCAAGATATGCAAGTAGAAATTGAACATTGTGTTGCTTTGTCAAGTTACCCTATAATGTGGCATCAACTATGTTTCCATACCAAACTTGAACAGGAATATTCACAAGTGCAGACACAGTTATCACTAATTGAATCTACAGTTGATGCTGCCATCTGTATCATATCAACATTTGAGGATGGTATACCTTTAGGTAAATACCCAAAGTGTAACCATACTTATGAAATCGTTACACACCACAGAGATTTATCAAATGGAATGGAACTCCTATACGATCAATGCTCTGAGATGTATGGAAATTACACCCCATCATATAAGAAGTTTAGAATTATAGAAGGGTTGCTTTCACCTTATGTTGAAATAAAAGCTTCTTCGAAACTTATGTTTTTATGTGGAAGTAAAGCAATGGCTAAGTTGCCCTATGTGTGGAAAGGTAGATGTGCAATTGGGTATGTTAAGGTTCCACCACTCATAAGACGCAAGAGACAAGTGGGTGGACCGTTGAAACCTGGACCTAATAGACAAGTCAGTGATCCAAGTAAAAAGGAAGGAAATATTTTTCTGGATTTAAGGAAAGTAGCTTTCAATAGTTCATCTTTTTGTGTGAAAGGAGAGACAAGTCTCCGATATAATGTCTACATGCTTTATAGGAATGCCTGTCCCTGGAAAGTTTTTATCTGATGAAGCAAAAATCACCATAGAAACCAATAATTATAAACTTCCCCAGGTAATTACTCTTTTTGGAAGTCCACATAAACCTAATAAATGGACTAACCAGAAGAAATTGGTGATTGAATTAAAAACAGTATTGCCTTCTTATGATTGTGTATATTACAAACATCCAGAAAAGAAACAGGAAAAGGTAATATATGTGCCAGTGCCTACTGATCATGTTTACCTGTTCTGAGGTGGAAGAGGTAGAGGCTGCAGGACCGGTATTATATTTCACTAGAGGTTGGTTTTTGTTTTGTGGCTTACATGCTTATGCATATGTACCTTCTAATGCAATACGAGGCCCTTGTACTTTTGGACGTTTAACTACCTTTATGTCAGTAACACATTTTAAGGATGTTAATCAGGAAACAGAATTTTACTATGAAATGATGAATACAAGTCTCTATCATAGTAACCGATAGGCCAATCAAGCACAGTAATCCCACGGTCATTGAACCAGTTTTTGGTGCTTTTGGCAAAAGTTGCTCTCATCAGAA